TCCTTTACCTTTCGGTCTTGTTTGGTGTCTTCCTTTCTTACCGTTTGGTGTACATGATGGTTTTTTTTTATTGCTTCGGTCATTATTATTCGTTGATCTTGCATTTGGACTTGATAACAATTTAGCCTTTTTCATTTCTTCCTTCTTTACCTCTTCACACTTTATTTCATTTTTCACGCAATTTGGATCGTTGGCCAGTTCCAGCTCGTCGTCTGTTTCGCTTTCTGATTTAATTAAGTCATTGAATCCTGCGCCATTCGCCTCATTCATTCCTGGTGACGATGTTCTGATTAAACTAAACTCGATATCGTCTGGTGGTTCCTCCTTAACATCGGGCTCTTGTTTGATTTCAACTGTCGAGCCATCCTTTTTGCGCCTGACCCTGCCATCTGATGTCCCTTCGTATGGCTCTTCGTTGGATTCGGAATTCATTTTTTATCTGTAACCATGAGAAAAAAATAAAGTAAGAAAGCTTGGGAAATATTTATATGGCATTTCATTCATTGAGAAGCATTGATATGCACACAATTCGTGTAAAATGTTTAAATAAAATGAATGGAGTTTCGCTAAACTGCATCGCCAAAATTTTGAGAAGGAAATAATTGAAATTACTTCGATTAAAAAAATACTAAAAACCCCGCTTATTTCTTCACACAGTTCTCTCAGCGACGTCGTATTAATATAGCGGTATTCAGTATTCTCAACAACGTTTGTGTTCTATGTTTGTGTCCGTGTGCTTTGTACAGGTTACAATACAACGACAGCATTGCCACAATTCCGTGGAAATTAAATGTGCACAGTGTTCGGCACTCCAATAAAAACCAATAAAATTAATGCTCAAAAAATTGATTTGATGCAACACGGGAAACGAATTTTAATGAAAAAATTGAAAATCAAACGAAGCGCAGAAAATATTTCCAAAACTTACCTCTCGTAAGCATGTACTCGTTGCACAAATAACACACGATGTTGACTGTACGTGTTTCACCTTCAAATGATCGTAAGCTAGTGG